AGCATCTTTGGGATGTGGTGGAACGGGAGATTCCCATCTAGGATGTGTGGACGAAAAATCTGCGGCAACTGTGTGATGCCATCATGTCAATATGGACCAAACTCCCTGAGGAATGCTTCCAGCACCTTGTTGAATCTATGCCACCAAGAAATGAGGCAGTTCTGAAGGCAAAAGGGGGTCCAACCAGTTACTGGCATGGGGTACCTAATAAAGTGGCCGGTGAGTGTATGCTGTAATAATTGTAACCCTGGTAACAATATACACTAAACCTAATCTACCTCCTAATCTCCTTGCCGCCATGTTAGCAGCTGTACTAGCCGCTGTGTTAGCCGCTGTACTATCCTCTGTGTTAGCTGCTGTGTTAGTCGCTGTACTAGCCCCTGTGTTAGCCACTGTTAGCCGCTGTACTATCCTCTGTGTTAGCCGCTGTTTTAGCCACTGTGTTAGCCGCTGTACTATCCCTTGTGTTAGCCACTGTGTTAGCTGCTATACTAGCTGTACTGGCCACTTTATTAGCCACTGTGTTAGCCGCTGTACTATCCTCTGTGTTAGCCGCTGTTTTAGCCACTGTGTTAGCCCCTGTACTATCCCTTGTGTTAGCCACTGTGTTAGCTGCTATATTAGCCACTTTATTAGCCACTGTGTTAGCCACTGTACTAGCCTCTGTTTTAGCTGCTGTACTAGCCCAAGTGTTAACCGATGTGTTAGCCACTGTTTTCGCCGCTGTGTTAGCTGCTGTACTAGCCACTGTATTAGCCGCTGTGTTAGCAACACTACTAGCCGCTGTACTATCCCGTGTTAGCTGCTGTGTTAGCCACTGTTTTAGCCACTATGTTAGCCGCTGTACTATGCCTTGTGTTAGCCACTGTGTTAGCCGCTGTGTTAGCTGCTATACTAGCTGTACTAGCCACTTTATTAGCCACTGTGTTAGCCGCTGTACTAGCCACTGTGTTAGCCGCAGTTAGTTACTGTACTAGCCACTGTGTTAGCCTCTATACTAGCCACTGTGTTAGCCAAAAAAAAATATTTTCAGTTCAATGCATTTCAAAGCTAAACACTCCTTNGAACTATAGAAAGTAGAGCACATCAGCCCGGTTCTGAAGTTCTTCCTCTGGCTCCCTGTTGCTCAGAAAATAGACCCTCTTTAAATCCTGCTTTTAGTCTAGAAATCACCGCATATATCAGTACCTCAATCCATAACAGATCTATTGTCAGTGGATCTATCTTGCAGACCACTCAGGTCTTCCTTTTCCAGTCTAGTCCCCCATGTGGCTGACTAGGGTTCCAGTCCGGCCTATGTTCCATGTCTCCCCCCCTTTCCTTTCAGCCCCCTTTACAATAAATGAGTCAGTAGTGTTGGAACAACCTAAAATAAAGGGTGTGAATCTCATCATCTCATCTGATTTAGGTCTTGCCAAAGCGCTGTACTCCTACCAGGCTCAAAGTGCAGAAGAGCTTTCCTTCCAGGAGGGGGCGCTGATTCGTCTCATCCGCCGTACACATGGAGAGGTGTGTATTTTCTGTATCATGTTGTTGGTTAGGGTTAGGGTTAGTCCTAACCCTGTACCTAACATTATCTATGGTATAAATCACTTTAAACCGATCAGCAGATGGGTTTTCTAGGTAGCGTATGGCTCTAGGATCGTATTAAACCTCTGATCACGCTGCAAACAGGCTGGGGGGAACCTTCTGCTCTAACTGGAGGGGCTTTTATTGTAATCAGTTACATCAGATAACAGGATTATCCTGTAATGGAGTAAAGGACAGAACGATCCAGCAGGCGTTAGCCTGATGTGTTTAGCTTCAGCTCGGCAGTCAGCAGACGTAGAAAAGCTGCTCAGACAAACAGACACTCTCAATATGGCGGATTTTTGTTTTTTTAGATAGATGATGGATTTTGGGAGGGAGAACTAGATGGAAGAACCGGGGTATTCCCATCATTGTTGGTGGAGCCACTGCCTGATGAAGAGGAGGGGGATGAAGAGGAGGAGGTGCTGAGTATGAACCCTCCACATTTCTGATGGATTAATGTGTTTTTTTTTAATAATCGTTTTCTCACCAAATATTAATTATTTTTCTACCCAGCCTCTTCATTCTGCACCATCTCCTTGCTCACCCCCCCTCCAAATCCCCCCAGCTCCTAGTGCTGCTTCTGCAAGCACTGCTTCACCCCCTGGTGGCGAAGAGGAGCAGCAGCAGTCTGCTGACGTAGAGGAGCCGCTCACAGCAGGTCAGAGGTGCAGTCCTGAGTGTTTCCCTGTAACCTGTGATCCTCCTGATGCCATCATGCTTCTGCTGTTCCAACAGAGGCTGAAGCCAGAAGCCACACCCCCTCAGAGTTTCCCAGGGATCGAATTAGACCAGTACGTGTCACGTTGGTCCTACTTTACAGGGCGAGCAATGTTGTGTTCAGTGGACTCTGCTTGTGTCGTTTCAGTGCCGGGCCCCCCCTCCTCCACCCACCAGCTGTACTTAGATGGGAGACGTTAAACTTCACAGGAAGAAGCAGAGCTGCAGTGGTTGGCCTCCTTCATGTCCTCAGAGATGTTTTCCTGCCAT